TTTTAAGGTCAAAAATATTTTTTCTTTACTTTAACTGTATTATTATTATCTATTATTTTAATTAATTATCTAACTATAAATTTTTTTTATTTTTTACTTCCTTTTTAGAGTTATTATTTTAATACAAATTATATAAAAAAAGATAATTTTTTCTTTTCTTAAATTCCTTTTCATTTCACTCAAAATTTAAACTTGATATTTCTAATCTAAAATGTCAAGTTATTAACCAATACTCCTTAGATATTATAAATAAATACAATTATTATCTCTAAATTTTTAATTTTTAAAAAAATTAAAAAATAATGATTATTTTAAAATAATAGGAGTAGAATTTTAAGGTTGAAACTTGCAAGAAAGCAACCAAGCAGTTCTTATTCAAATACATCAAACTTTAATCCAAAGCAATCTCTTGTTACAATTATCAAGATTCAAGAGCAGCAACTCGAAGATTCTCTTCGTTCGTTGTAATCTCCTCAGCTACACCCGCCAGTGGCGAACCCCACCCTTGCATTGGCGCTATCGTACACCACTTGCAATGTTTTCTGTTGCACGTTTCCGAGAATACCCACATTGGAATCATTATTGTTTCCGGCAAATGCCAGGCACACTTGTGACGGGCTGTTGACGTACAAGATTCCGGAGAGGGCTATCTCCACCTCAACCCCGCCACTGAAGGAAATGCTTATTTTGGGTATGCTGAAGGAATTGTAACTGCTAAGGTCGTAACACGTATCGAGAATTGATAGTGGCTTCCCCATTGGGTACTTGGACATTCCTTGACGGAAAGCAGTTCTGAGAGCGGAGTACGCCGTGGCTGGGAGGCGGGTGATGACAGTTCCGGAGTCGATGATTGTGCCTGCCGTGGTGAACACCGACGCGGAGATAGACAATCTCTTACCGCCGACGCTAATTCCAGTGATGCCGAGACCGTAGAATGATGGACCCCTAGAGAGAGTGACTAAAGGAGTGAATTCCACGGAATTCGAGATGCCACTGTTGCCAAAGGACAGGTAACCGGTGGAGCTGGTGGAGGATGGCAAGCAGTAGGAGAAAACCTTCTTGTATTTCTGGGCTATCTGTGATGGCAAGGATAGTTCATTACGGCCCAGCCCAAGTAATCCGGCGGCGCCACTAAAAAGCCCCTGGTTGTTTTCGCCACATCCGAATAGGAAATTGTCGAAAATGTCTGCCGATGTCAAGGTCAGCCGTTCTGTGCCGAAGAACCCGACTGAGAAAGACTTGTCACCGTATCCTATTTTATAGACACAGGTTGAAGACGAACAAGCCGGTGGATTCCCTGAAACAAACAACACAAACAAAATAAAAATAAAAAACGTGAATTACGATTGACCCAAAAACACAATTAAAAAAATAATTTAAAGATAATTTTTTGTGTGATTTTTTAATGTAATAGGTAAAAAAATGAAAATTATATTAAAAAAACTTAAAAAGAAGAAAAAGTTGTTTTCATATCGTTACCTACACAAATTGCATCAAAATTTCCCAGATTTTGGTATCGAAGATTGAAGATCTGAAATTACCTGTTGCAGAAGACAGAGAACCACAAATCGAGGAAGAACAAGAAATGTTGAGATATGATTTAGACTGAGAAGGATCGAATATGGGTTCTTTCTGCTGATAACAGTATCGGACGCAAGGTTGGCATTGAGTCCAGGTGAGGTCACTTCCAGTGTCGAATACTAGGGAAAGGTCTTTTTTTGGGGTGCCGAGACCCACCGTGACGATGTAACTTGCCGATCCCACAACACTTCCGTCCTTGGCCGGAATGCTGGTGGCAGCTTTCTCTTTCACGTTGTTGACGGTGTTGGCGAGTCTTGAGTGAATTGAGTTGACCCGAGCTTGATCATGGAGGAGGACTTCAGTGAAGGTTGGAGCATCCGAAGTGAGTTGAGAGCATGGGCCATGCTTGTGGATTACTGTCAAAGATGACTTTTTGTCCGTAGCTGAAATGTACGGAGATTAATATATTAGTTAATACCATAAAAGTAATATAATGCATTCATAGATTTAATTTACATTTATCTTAAAAAAATTCATTTTGTAATATGAATTATACTAAACAGCAAAATATAGCAAAATATAACTTACCAGGAAAGGTCGCTAATATCAAAATACATAACTCTTATTTAATAATAAGTATTATATAATTTAGTATAATTTAAATTATAAAACACTTTTCATTATTTTAAATATGCTTAATTAAGGTAGAGAGATAATGGATTTCAAAGATTCTTAAACAACTTCATCTTTAAAATGCAACTTAAATAATTCTAAATAGATATTGGGTGCTTGACTTTTTTTTATAGAGGAAATATAGAAATATATTAAGTTATAAAAAATTACTACAGAATCTCTATCGTATAACATATAGCAAAAATCAAAATAACTTAAGGACAAAATCAAAAGCATAACCTACAACATTAATAACAGACTTAAATTATACCCATGACAGATATAGAAAATTAAGCAAAGAGAGCCATCTGCAGCTAGGGATTGAATTTACAATTATTGTATGGGTTAAATAAGACTACTAATGTAGAAAGGAGAGTCACTATGAACATTAAGAACTAATGGACATCTTCACTCATTTAACTAGCTTCTTGGGGAGAGTAAAGGATTCTGGTAACAAACAGTCCTCAACCCACAAGTTGTCACCCTACTTGTTCTTAAAGAAGAACAACCAAGAGGAGTATGGGTCTTTCCTGACAAGTACAAGGCACCTCAATCGCCTCCATATACTCCCAATCATGTTCCCATCTTTGTTGATCCTCTTCAAGCCCATGTTGTTGAAACTCATTAAAGGAACTAGAGCCACTTTGCCAGTTTGAAAATCAGCCTTCCCATGCAGATCATAGTCAGCCTTACCAACAACATCCTTTTCCTTCGACAATCGGCTAATTGATTAGGAACTGGTGTGAACTAGATTCGCCGAATTCGACCCCTGCCAAGATCCCATTTGAGAAGATGCTCTAAAGCAAGATTTTTACCCGTTAAATAGGAGAAACCTACTTCACCAGCAAGATCAATTCTAATTGCAGCCTTCAAAAATCAACAGATGTAAATCCTAGAAAACCCAAAAAGTCGTTGCCTTATGGTCCCTTGGGTTGGAGTTTCCAAAGCAAGACAGTGACAAGAGGAAGGAGGAGAACAAGAGAAGGAAGGGGGGGATAAGAAGAAAGGAGGTATGAAAGAACTCTTATATCAGAAAGAAACCCTAAAGAGGAAAACCTGCCATCACGGCTGTCAACTCTAGAAGCAGTGCACAAGATAAACCCTAGGGAGGCCAAAATGATATTGGGTGCTTGACTTAAAATGAAAAGAACCATTTAATGTTTTCTTTGTCTTTCTTTATTTTTATATTTTCCCCAATCTCCACATTTCCCTTTATTAAAAAAAATGAAAAAAAAAAATTTGTGGTAGAGATAGGAATTTCCCAATTTGAAATCCAACAATTACGTAACGGACTCTTATTCCTTTTTCTATTCGGTGCTTTGTTTTACCAAGACAAAAAAATCAAGTTGCTTATTGCTTATTCTTACTTTTGAGTTGGAATCATGAAAGGAATTAGAAGAATACATAGGAAGAGGAAGAAGACCGTGGATGTATATTTCACATTAAGAGTAAAAAAGACATAACATATTGCACCAAACTCTGCATAGTCTTCTTCTCAATGATTAAGATACCCACAATACTTGACCTTTATTCGCTAACTGTTTCTTTGATAGAAAAAGAGAACATCATTCACGAGAAAAAAAACTGTTTCTTTTTTCTGTTCAGCATAATTCATCAAATTAAGAGGTGCACAACATAACTAAAGATACCATTTTCCTTCAAAAACATATATAAATTTGAACTATATCAAGTGGGGTTTGGAGACATGAAACATATGGGTTTAACAATTGCATGAGCTTAATTAAGTTTGTTCGGTCTTTTTAGGGCTGAAAGTGATAGGAGAGTGCCATATATAGATTCTCAAACAACGTATGCTTCTTTCACTTAGTGGATGAGTAATGA